AACTCCAAAACATACATAATATATACACAGTAGTCATTTGGGAGAGTGCATGGCTAGAGAAATTTAAATCTGGACTGGACAAAAACACTAACACTATGACAAGTCTGACTATTCAACTATAAAATTATAGGGAATGCAAGAAAATAGTTAAAATAATTGAAAATTCATGACTTACTAGGTGGTACTGGAGTTGTGCGTCTGGCATCTGTAGAAAAGGTTATTGTAGAAAAAAGACATAATTGCTCATCACTTTACATGGTTTCTAATTTTGAAGAAGAAAAAAGCTATATGATTTAAAGGAAAATGATAAGTCTACACAGGAGAAATATGGAAAAATACACATATTCCTCAGAATAGCACTGTATATCTCTCTCTAGTATCTCCTTTTAACAGGTTGGCAATATTGTCCTGGTCACAAGCACAGTTGAAAGAAAATGGCCATATGCAAATAAGAGATGCTGATTCCAGTTATCTCACTGGAGTGCATGTACTTTATTAAAATGAAAATAATGCCAGGAGAGTCAAACAACTTGGGGGGTCTTCTTTTCCAAAATGAAAGGTATTCCAGGGGGAACACAGAAAATGCTTATAAGATGGGAAACAAGGTATTTGGGGTTGTTTTGATATTAAGGTGGTTTTATTTTAATATTATTATTTATTTATGGGATTTAGGGCTGTGTGAAATTTTGCTGGCCATTTCGTTTTGACACGGTTTCAACCAATTTCGAGGTTGAAACAGCAACATTTGGAATGAAACAAAGGCCGTCAAAATAGCCTTGAATCAAAATGAGGCTAGTTGAAATGTTTTGAAAGTTGAAATGTTTCAACCACAGGCTGGGGATGGGAAGTCAATGGAGCTGGGATGACTTACCATGCCCAGCGCAAGATCTGGCAGCGGATGGGAAGTGAGCCCAGCTGGGTTGACTCTTCATCCCTGGCACTAGATCCCTATCCCTGGGATCTAGCTAGATTGGGCTGGGGGTGGGAGGCAGCCCAGCTGGGCTGCTTTCCTATCCTCAGTGCTAGATTGCACTGAGGAATGGGGAAGCAGGCCAGCTTGGCTGCCTCCCGCCCCCGGTGCTATCCAGCGCTGGGGATGGGAAGTCAGCTCAGCTGGGCTGACTTCCCATCTCCAGCAAAATGTTGAAACAGCATTGAAACAGCCTTTCTGTTTCGGTGGAATGGAACAGCTGTTTCAATTTGAAATGGAATGCTGTTCTGTCAAAACGTTTAAACTCAAGGCAAAGTGGAACGGTGCCATTTCGCACAGCCCTAATGGGATTTATGTTGGCCTTCCCAATAAAGGTTCAGGTCTGCTTAGAGCAAGTGGAACAGAACAACTTAAAAGGGCAACTTGAATAAATAAAATAAAACAAAATATAGGAGGGACCTAGTCAACAATATCTCAGCCTAGTTTTGGGTCCTAAATGACCACCCAAACAGAAAGGTCCTGCAGCACTTCCAATAGATGGCTAGCCTCAGGATTGGTGAGCCTGAAGAGGGAGGGAATCCCAGAGCTGAGGATCAATGGCTAAGAACAATTTCCCATACATTTTTGCCAAGTGGAATTGGTGTAATGGCAGCACTTACAGGAGATTGTGCTCAGCTGACTTTAGGGATTGCACTGAGGCATGAAGGAGAATGTGGTCTCTCAGGCATGTAGGTCCCAGGAAGTTTTGGGCTCTATAGATCAAAACTAGCTCTTTGAATCTTGGGCAGCAAAAATATAGAAAGGTAAGTTAGACCTATTATTTGTCCTCACATTGTTTCCCACCTTATAAAAATCACACAGGTTTCCTTAATGCTCCAAGGGAAATCCTGAACCTATTGCAATCATGGGCAAAACCTTAAGTTCAGTTAGCCCAAATTCTACTATCTGTGTCTGTCTAGTGTAGCTCTCCTGACTAACGCACCTTCCCTGGAATGACTGACTAACACATAACCCTCCCCCCCCACACACACAACATCCCCAAACCCTATTATGTGATGAACACTATGGTTACACCTGTCATTTCTGTAAGCCTTTTAAGCTTAATTGTGGTTTCATACCTTTGGTGTCTTCACTAGGTTTACTGAGGTCAAATAGGAGTTTTGAATGTTAGCTGGGAGTATTCAGAGAAAAGAAAGAATGAGCTGAATGCAGGGGGAAGGGAAATGGACAAAACCTTCTCTGCACCTGCTCCCTATATATGGGGTGGTGAAGTATGTAGCTTCCTGGGAGTACGGGCTGTATATTCTTGAGACAGAAAAGAGAATTTACCTGAACAAATGGCACTGGCATCTTCATTATGGTCACAGTTGTGAGTCAACCATCCTGCATGTTTACATTGACTGAGATGTCTTTCACTTCCAGTGCAACGCACATTATCCAACATAATTTCTCCAGAGCCTGGACCAAAATAGGCTTTCCCAGGTGCTGACATGACGTTGCCACATCCAACCTGCCTGCATATGACTTGTGCATCTTTTCTGCCCCAGAGATCATCACAAACAGTTCCCCATGTTCCATTGAAGTAAACTTCCACCCGGCCCTCACAGCTTCTCCTTCCATTCACCAGTCGTATGGGGAATACAGCTTTTAAAGGCAAAAAGAAAGCAAAATGCCAGAAACTGAAATTCAGTGTATCTGTTTTCCATCTTTGGTATATAATCTTAGGGTTCAAAGATTGTATTCGCTAGGTAAAGCTTGATAATTTAGTGGGCTGAATACTATCTCCCATTCTGCAAATTTGTCACTACATTTCTTAGATTTATTCTTTAATTTATTTTTTATTTGAATGTCTCCTATGAATATTTTCAGTGAATCTTCCTTGGTTGGTAGCTGACTGTACTTATCTTTACTTTTCAAGCTCTTCTAATTGTAGTTTTCTAGGACGCATGATTTTAAAGATTTTTTTAAGGTTCTTTTATTTTCAGTCAAGGAAGACTAATTGAAACACCATCTGAAAACTGAGACCATAAGCACAAATAAACATGCTTGTAGTTTTCTGTGTTGTCTAATTTGTAGGCTCATTTCAATGTCAATTACAGAAGAACATTAAAGTCTAAGATTTTGAGCATCATCCAATTAGAAGACCTCCAGGCCAACAGAATAAACAAAAATCACCTTATGCACATTTAATTATGGTTACTGAATGCATTTTTATATGAATGGCCCTGACAAATTGATACTTCATATTTGAAGATAACTCAGGCCTGTGGCTCCTCCTATTCAGACAGTTAAAATGAGTGATTTGGTTACTTTAGTATGTTTGACTGAATGCCAGCTGGCCCTATCTATTTCCAGTTATTTAATTTCATCTATCATTCCAGCATGTTTATACTCTGATTGACCCTCACCATCTGTACTCAATGATTCTGGGGTAAAGATTGCCCCATTTGTTTTTGAGAGACTGGTCAGTGAAAAGAAGTGATTAGTTTTTAGTGTTGTGTCATCTATGGAAACTGTCAACAGGTTGAGGGAAATACATTAGTAGAGTTAACTAGCAACTGGGAACAAACTATAATTGGGGTGTTGGTCTAGAGTTCAGGCCTGAAGGAACTGTATCCTCAAGTTAGCAACTAATTATAATTATAAGTGGAATTTTGTGGGGTTTTTGACACTGGTGCAAGAAATAGGTGCTTAACAAATAGAAGTGGAAGTGATCTTAGACTAATCTTCTCTTGAGATAATAAAAATCCCAAATTGGAATAGTTTATACTTTTTTTTCTATAAAGGGGCATGCAACTGAAATACCAGAGAATGTAGTGGCTCCATAGAGAAGTAAATTTATATACATGATAGGAAATGCCAATCCTATATATGTCAGACTGTGCTCTTACTACCTGGGACACAGCCATCATCTGGGGTAGGGTGGGTACTTTATCATTAAAAGAATTCAAGAAAGCAGATTGGATAAAACTGTTGTACTACAACATTCCTGGATATTGAATGTTTACATACCATAGTTTTTCGCATGCAATATACTTCCCGCTCCTCCCCCCGCCAAATCAATCCCCCTCTCCTCCCAAACTGAGGTGTACATATTAAGCAGGAGAGCTAATTTTCAGCCTGGGATAGAAATACCCTGTTTTGATTCTTGCTACACAGTGTAGCAACTGTGGTATTACTGTTCTGGCAGCTGATGAAGTCAATTGACTTAATGGTTCATTTTTCTCCACTCCACAGGTGTTAGTGACTAATTAAGCTAACCTCTCTTAGGGCAATTTTGCTGTCTGCTAGCTGCTCCTGGTGTCTCTCCTCCTATTTCACAGGCTAAGCAGGAAAAGGAGGGTGAGTCAGCTGAAGCGTTTTCATGCACAAACAATTTGCCTTTCTTAATTCTAAAAGTAATATACCTATATCCCTCTCTTGAGGACTTTCCTGAGTCCTGTAGTGATTTGGCTCAGCTGTATACCCATCTACCCATTACAACTCATTAGAATTCTTAACTAGGGCTGTTTAAATGATAACTTTTTTAGTAGGGAGGCAGAAACAACTTATAATACTTTAAATAGCCACAACTATTTATTGCAACTCAATTGCTACAGGTACTTCATCAGGTTTCTGTTTAGTAGTTTACATCACCCTGCTGTTTCTTATAGGTTCTTTACCTTCAGTAGCTCTAGGTGTTTGTGCTGGGGTAGATGGTTTCCTTTTTGTCTTTTTGGAGATGCGTGAATCTGTCAGAAAATATGAAGGAAAAAGTACTTAGAACTGAACAGGTCTTGGTCATTCATGGGATTCTGTTCTATGGTTAAAAGACTGAAGACACTGCAGGAAAAAGTTAATTCTGTCATTCACTTGTTCAAAATCCCATCTTAGAGACCAAGCCACTTTACTAAATTCAAGGCACGTGGGTCAGGACTTCAGTGATTCAGGATCAGGCTCTTAGTCTGGTATACATTAGGAGACTAAAGGGAAAAATCCCATTGGTGATCCCAACACACCAATGGATATAAATCCAAATAAAGGCCCAGAAAAATGTGTTGAACAATGTGGTGAAAGAAGAGGAGGATGCTCTCACCTTTCAGCCCAATAGTACAGGCCCAGAGTAATTAAGCTGCAACCCCACAAGCTCCTAGGCTGGGCACTAGGGGTGTACAAAATGGGTTGTATTCAATTCAGATTTGGCCCGAATTGGGGGACAGTGATTCAATTCGTTGATTCAGATCACTGTCCCAGTTCAATTCAGCCAAATCTGAAGATTCGATGCTGATTTGTAGAATCAGTGATTTGGCCATAGACACAGCTTTAAATCTTTTTTCAATATACCTTCAGGTACCAGGCATGACTCATGAATGCTGCGATGGCAGAGTGGATGGAGCATCCCACAGGGGTGTGGGGGCGCCTCCCACATGCTCAGTGGGAGACCTGGAAGTGGGCTGGAGGTACTTCCGGTCTACTTCTGGGTCCGCCACAGAGTGTGTGGGCCCCTGCTTCCGTGCCCCCGTGGCGGACCCAGAAGTGGACCAAAGTGCTTCTGGTCCATTTGCGCATCCACTGCCGAGTGTGCTTGGGACCCCCCCATGCTCCCTTGGGACACTCCATCTACCCCAGCATCTCAGAGTTCATGAGCTGCCTGGTACCTTGAGGTATGTAGAAAAAACATTTAAAGCTGTGTTTATGTCTGAATTATCGAATCACTCCGAATCTCTCTGAATCAATTCAGAGGGTTCCAATTTGGTTTGGATTCGGAGATTCAGCCATTGAATTGGGCTGAATCTCCACCCAATTGAATCAGCAACTGAAGCTTTTCACAGCCCTACTGGGCAATGTAGATTTCCCCATTGCTCTCCTGCTGCTGCCATGAGGGTCTTCAGGTCCCCTCCCTCTTTCATCTTCTGCTACCTGCCTGAGGATGGGAAAATACAGCCTTCAGGTTTAAAGGAGCCTGTAGCTGAGAGCTTGGAGGGACTCAGGGAAACCACACAATGCAGATATGCTGATGCAGTGCAGCATGGGTTGCCCAATGCACAGCACAGCATGGACCCCATGTGACATGGTGTGTCATGGCAAGGGAATGGGGCAGTATGGGGGCACTGATGTGGCAGCAAGGGGAGTACCCAATACAGGATGTACCCATGCCCTGTGGTATGATGCCCGTGTGGCATGCGGCCCAGCCTGCATGGTGGGTGGAAGGGGCAGGACCTTTTGTTCCATCACTATTCCTAATGGCTTTTCTACACCTTTCATTTAATTTTCATTTAATAAAATGGATAAAGAGAAATGGGATAGTTTCTGCCCTAATGGAGCAGAAATGGTGTTTTCTGTTTTACTTTCCGCAAATATGTGCTTCCCTGGGGGATCTTACTCTACCATAGGGGAAAATACAATGTGAACTATGAGTAAATGCCAAAAATTGCTGTCACATAAATGCTTTTGGGTACATCTACATGTTCACTTTATTGAGGAGCTGACTAATTAGCTCTGCAGTAAAGTGTCACTGTCTATACATGCACCCCTATTTGGGAACAGTAAAAACTAACTCCATTGCAGGATAGTACTGTCTTTGGCAAGCAAAGTAGTTACATGTGCCAAAATGCACATGTAGATGATGGTGACTGGGCCTGGCTGGGGTACAAGGATGCTATAATGTGGGGGCTGCCTGCTGGCATATAAAACCAGTACATACCCATAACAGAGTTTTGGCACAAGCAGACTGGTTTAAAAATGGTGGAACTTGGTGGAAGATTTACCATTCACATCAAAGGGCGAATGTGTGCTCTGTTCACTACCAGTCTAAACTACACCGCTTACAGAAAACCACAAAACTTAGATTGATTTCCACCTTGGGCTGTTTGAATGTCTGTACCTAGCCTAAATCTCTTTGCAAGTACAGTTATTACTTATGTAGATAGTAATATTAGGGAAGTTTTAACACTTAGAAAAAGACAGTGTGAAGTTGGCTGTTCATGCACACATGACTGTTTTTTGGTCATAGTTGGCATATACAACATGTAATTTTCTAGAAATTGTTGAAATTTCTAGAAACATATTCAGGTTTGAGTAGCATATAGTAAATGTGGTAATTATAAGCCTATGGTGGAAAGATATTTTTTTAAAGTGATCATAAAGATAGTAGTTGAAAAATTGCTTTTGATTCTTCATATACTAATTATTGTTGTCTTCTGTGATGTTCGTTCTGCTTTATAAATCAGAAGTAAAACTAACTATTGTCTCTACTGTATATTGGATACTAGAACTCTGTATCTATATTAATAAAAGGGCCTCTGTGTGTGTGTGTGTGTGTGTGTGTGTGTGTGTGTGTGTGTGTGTGTGTGTGTGTGTGTGTGTGTGTGTGTGTGTGTGTGTGTGCGTGCGCGCGTGTGCGTGAGCACCATAGCTCCAAGACCATGATACCTAGAGACTTGAAACTTTGCATGCATACTAAGGGTACCCTGGGGGCGTGCACCTGGGTGCTATTTTTTTTATTTGGATCAAAGAAAATTTCACTAATTTTTTTTTTTAATCTATACTGGATAACCCCCTGTGACAGGTCAGCCCCAGAAAGTGGAATAAATTTTTATGTGCAAAACATTCTTTAGCAAAGCTCAAAGCTCCTGGCCAAGGTCAACCGGTACAGCTGGAGAAGTCTCCATGTTTAGGAGTATTCCCCTAAGGACTGTGGTTGGGACTGGTTAACAGAACCTGGGAGTACCCGCAGGCGGAGTGAGGGCTTAAGCAAGGTCCAGGGAGAAAACTGTACTGGGCCTTCTCAGGGACTAATTGGGGGTTGTGAGAGGCATTCCCTGTAAGGCAATCTACAAAAAGCAAACCTGCTAAAAATTGACTTGCAAAAGCTGCAGCCAGAGCAGCTGAGACTCCAGAGCAGCAAGTTGAAAGACGAGAACCAAACAGAGCAGCAATGGATGCATCTACAGCAACTGAAACTCCTGTACAGCAAGTTGCATAGAGCGGCAATGGGTGCAGCCAGGAACCAGCCCTGGAGGGAAAAAGAAAACTCTGCATTCTTCTACAATTCAGCTTCAGATTACGGTTCTGATCCATTAGTTGCAATTGGCTCAGTGGTGACTTCTTGCAGCCACTGCCTTGCAATGAGATGGAAAGCAGAAGCCTGCAACAGTGGCAAGGTTCAATTCCCCCAAATGAATGATCTTCCTGAACCCCTTCATACATTGTTGACAGGCAACACTACAGATGCACGATTCAAAGTAACATTAGAAGATACAACTCATGCTTCCAAATTACATCTTTTGGCAGCACAAAAGACATCAGAGAATCTGGCTACATGCCCACATTTAAAGTGCAGGGCCAGGTTTATCATCAGATTGGCAGTCTGATGTCACTCCCAAATGAAGAGCCCAAATTTCTGCAGATCTATTTCATGGGTGACAATACAAAACAGGCTGAACAGCATTGCAACAGTGTCATTCAAACCAACCTGCAGGTGGTGTTGCAGTTGCAAGCCATGCTTCACAAGGAAAACAACTATGTTCACAGTTTCAAGTGTGCAATGGAGAAGATGTCTCCAGAGTATAATGTTGACATTCAAGCAGACAAAACTCCAGCTGGTGAACATGAGCGGCACTTCAATGCACCTACATCAGAAGTGGCTGTCATTCTGGCTGGTGAACAACATGGCAATCAATACATTGTGTTGCAACTCAGGAACTACTCCCTCCAGAGAATCGCTGAGACAGGCTGATCATATGATGCACTTCAGTATCCACTAATTTTCTGGCAGGGTGATGATGGCTACCATTTTGAACTGCGACAAACAAACCCAGCAACAGGCCCGCCAACTCAAAAGAAGATTTCTGCCATGGACTTTTATGCTTACAGGATGATACTGCAAACTAGAAGTTTCAATCACATCTTGCGATGCAAAGATCTCTTCCACCAATTTGCTGTGGACATGTATGCCAAAACTGAAGCAGAAAGGTTGAGATTCATTTGAATGAACCAAAAGAAACTCAGAGTTGAAAACTATGTTCACCTCAGGGATGCCATGAACAATGATGGAGATGCTGCCAATGTTGGCCAATTGGTCATCTTATCTTCCAGTTTCACAAGTGGGCCTCACTAAATGCATGAGCACACTCAGGATGCCATAACGTATGTGAGAAACTATGGCCGCCCTGATCTCTTCATTACCTTTACCTGCAACCCAGCTTGGGCATCTTCTTTCTGGATGCTTAAGGTGGAACTGGGAAAACTTTTCTCCTCAATCTTCTTTTGGCCAAAATCCAGCAGACAAACAGGATTGCCCTTGCAGTGGCATCATCAGGCATTGCTGCCACACTGTTAACAGGAGGAAGAACAGCTCACTCAGCCTTCAAGTTGCCCTTAAATCTGGCAAGTGCAGAGGCACCAACCTGCAACATTGCCAGGGGTACTGGCAAAGCAAAGGCTCTTCAGGAGTGCCAGCTCATTGTCTGGGATGAGTGCACAATGTCTCACAAAGCTGCCTTAGAGGCTCTTGATTGCACCCTCCAAGATCTTCCACATAATGACAAAACAATGGGAGCAGTGACTGGTGTTGCCTGGGGATTTTCGACAGACACTGCCAGTCATTCCACATGGAACCAAAGCTGATGAACTGGAGGCCTGCCTCAAAGCTTCATACATTTGGAAAAACATTCAGTGACTCAGCCTCATGACCAACATGCAAGTGCATCTAACAGCTGATGTATCTGGTAGAGAGTTTGCTGCAAGCCTG